TACAAGAATGAGATGCAACTGTAAAAGTTGTTCATACTTTTAATTATTACACAATTTAAAATTGTTCAATTAATAATTATTTTAAGAATAATGTAAACTGAAAATACAATAGGAACATTACAATACTTATTAGTATTGATATTTTGTACTGGTATTATCTTGGAAATAAGAAGTTTTAGAACATCTTCCCTAAGTGTTTTGTGTTAAACAGCTGTCATGTCTCTTTGCCTCCTCAGTTTCTTGGGTAACCAAGCCTCCACTTATTTTTACCAACTCAGCAGTTCACTGATGATTCATGTGAAAATCCACTTGCACATGTGTGACTCAAATCTTAAATTAGTTATAACACAGATTTGTAGCCACCTTTTAATCTTCCTGAAGCATAGGTCAAACTACACTTACAGCTTGAGAAAACTTGCTGGTCAGTGATGAATATATCTAGCAATGCTGTTGACCAATAAATATTTCCTTCCTATTTTTATCACATATTATTAGCTAGTTACAATGATACAACCTCACAAAGACATTAAAATCTCAAACAACATTTGAATCATTTTTTAATATGTGTAGCAGTCAACACATTCACAAACAGCTTTTAATCAGAACTTCAGATTTTTTGTAGAAATGAGAATGAAAGAAAGTCAACAAAAGTTCTTAATTGCTGAATCTGTGTATACAATTGTTATTGACAAGATGTCCTGCAAAGACAACTATATTCAAGGTGAAATTCCAAATACATTGTTGATTTAAATATTATCAGTGTTTGGACGTTCCCATAAAACCTTGAAAGAGCTTTCAATTCAGAAGTCTTCAAAAGGATCCATGAATATGTTTAAATTTTGTGCTTTGAAATAGTTGTTAATTTTTTCATTAGTGATTTTTATCAGAAGAGTTAGAAAAGTGTGTCAGCTCATATAACTCAGAAACTTCCCACACAAAATGCTATTGATGGAAGTCCATGTAAAGCAGGCAACTGTGTTCCATGGTAAAAAATGCTGTGAATGGCATTACATCAATATATTTAGCATGATCAGAACTACTTTAAGTATCTTTTTTCTTGGGCTGCTTGATAATTTAAAAGTGAAACAATTAAGCAGGTGTTGCAATAATGATGTTACATCTAGTAATGAAATGTAAGTGTAGAACTTGTTTTTCTAACATGTTCAACATTTTAATGGACACCATTATGAGTAATGTCACATGTAATGTTATATACTGATAGAGCATATATGTGTGTCCTTCTGTTTATTAAGTCTGTTCAGTTATTTACTTCACAGCATGAAGTATTAAAGTATCAGCATTACAATGATGTAACTACATTTCATGAATCAAAATATTAAAGCATGGTAGAAGTTAAGGATTCCAACCAAGCAAAGAAGGTATAAATAATCAAGTACTTAGATGTGTGGCTGTGTAAAAGCAATTTTATTTCATTTTTGATTGAATTCAAGGTCAGAAACAAAGTGAAAACAGCTTCAGGTTTTGCAACCACACCTTACTTTTACACTAAGACTGTCATGCACTAGTTCTAGCATTTTAAGCACAACTTGAAATAAAAGTAGCTTACTGTTATACCTTCATTTACATAAACTTAATAGGCTTCAATGAACAGTTGCGCTCCTGGAATAAGGTAGTAAGACCAAATTCTTAACTCTTTGTTTACCCTTTCTTTAAATTGTGAAGGCATAACTCTCGTCATATTTTGTTTAAAAAATAAACCTAATAGATAAAATTGCTTCAAACTTGACAGGAACTTTCCTTAAGGCATGCAGTTTCAGAAAAATAAAATACTTGATTTTGATTTTTTTTATTAAAAATTCATTATTTATTGTGGTTATTTGTACTCATGCTTTGAATAGTTCAAGTGTAAGGTAATTTTTATGTTAAGTATAAAAGCACTTTTTTTTTATCACACAGTTTTCAAATTTTAATTGCATATTCCACAGTCTCTCTTAAATGAATATCATGTTTTTTAAGGTAAATGTTTATATTCTATTTTTCATTTTCTCTTTCATATCACTAACTGTAGCTATTATCATTATTGTACAATGCAAATAAATGTTTGAAATTAAGAAACAGAAATATGTACATACCTTTTAACTCTTCATAAAATAATCTTAAAATACTTTATTTTGAATATATTTATAATTTTAGATTTTTTACCTTTTCACTCATAGTTTATTTTTAATGTTTTATTTTCCTTTCCTTTACATTTGTTATTTATCTAGACACATGTCAAAAAGGTGCCCTCAGGGCACATCACGGTATTTTTGGCAGAGATAAGCAAATCTTTGGTAAAATGTTTTTGTACTCGTGCAGTAAGTTAATCTTCGTGAACTGAGGTAAAGTTTGGGTTACAGGAAAAAATCATCAAACCTTCAAATATTCATTTTAAAACATAAATAATACATAATTAACTAAAATATAAAAGTAAAACCTAAATACAATTTTACTGTCTATCTCAATAACATGTATCTAGATGAGAAACAACACTAAGTGCTAGCAAGGAGGAAATCAGCAGATAAGCTTTGGCTGTTTGATGTACTTGGTAATGAATACTACATGCCAGTTTTAAAATAACCATTAGAAGATTCTAGTTTAAAATGAGCTCTTCTACTGGTTATAAACATGTACATCAAATAAGTATATGTGGCTTGTAAATCTCAAGTCTTAATATAAACATGTACATCAAATAAGTATATGTGGCTTGTATATCTCAAGTCTAAGTATAAACATGTACATCAAATAAGTATATGTGGCTTGTATATCTCAAGTCTAAGTATAAACATGTACATCAAATAAGTATATGTGGCTTGTATATCTCAAGTCTAAGTATAAACATGTACGTCAAATAAGTATATGTGGCTTGTAAATCTCAAATCTAAGTATAAACATGTACATCAAATAAGTATATGTGGCTTGTATATCTCAAGTCTAAGTATAAACATTTACATCAAATAAGTATATGTGGCTTGTATATCTCAAGTCTAAGTATAAACATGTACATCAAATAAGTATATGTGGCTTGTATATATCAAGTCTAAGTATAAACATGTACATCAAATAAGTATATGTGGCTTGTAAATCTCAAGTCTAAGTATAAAAGGTGGTCATTGCTACTGTCAGGTGGTGAAAATATTTATTTCTTGTGTTCTCTGAATTGACCGGAAAGATCTTGAAATTTGGATGGGTAAACAGAGCTGTGAATGTAGTTTTGTGTCTAGAAATACATGTACACTGCAGATGTACTATTATTCAAGTAACAGATATAAAATGTTAAGATCTGTAAACGCTTGTGCATCATATGACAACAAAACTAAAGTTTAAGTTTTTAAAGGTTTCTTTTGGAATAAAAGAATTAAAACATAGATAATATAAAAGTTTGAATTATAACGTACATGATAATGTTAATTGATGAATGTAACCGAGTAAAACCTCATGATATGTGCAAAAAGGAGTTTTAAAGAGTACATAGTAGTCAATGGGTTAAGCAAAATAAATGTTTTGGTCTTGTACAATTGAAAATCCTGTTCTGGAATTTTGTTCTTCATCACGTGTATAATCCAGAAAATAATATATTGTTGTAACTTATTTTATCATTCTTCAAGTTTCTTTTTTGATTATTTGGTAAAAATAATGCCAAAAAAAAGCTAATGAATTAATCTATTTTTTCTATAGTATTTGCTTCACACAATGTTCACTTTGATAAAAGTTGTATGACTAAGTTCACAAAGAATGTTTGAGCTAGGTATGTGACTGAGGAAAGGATGGAAGGGCAGCATATTATATTCCCTATAACCATTGCTAATGAGGCATTTCACTCAATTCAGAGCTTGCTCTTCAGGTCCTCTGGGATATAATGAACACTGCAGTGGTCAGAACACAATTTATATAAGCCATTCATTACAAAAACAATTGTTATAATATGAAGGCAAGCTGGCAAAGAATGATTATAATTATACTTTCATGGTGTTAGAAAAACACATAGGTTGAAACCGCAAGCGCTTTCGAAAGGTGGAACTTTTTATTCCCAGTTTACCCCTGGAGAAGAAAGGTCCACCTTTCAAAAGCTCTCGGGTTATAGGGTTTTTATTAATTTCTATAATTATACTTTAGTATTAGATGTCTATTATTCTTAACTTGGTTTAATGTAAACTGGAATTTATTACAAGACACTTCTATTATAGTAAATAAAATTATGACCTATATATCCAGAATGCAACTTTTTAGCACTTATAATTTGATTTCACAGCTCTGTCAGAAGCTATCGATATCCTACAAGTTCACTAATCCAGTTGAATTATATTTTTAATAGTGCATTCTTTATCTAGTCCTTTAGGGATTTTCAAAAATTAGAAGAATGTATAATAATAGTTTTCCAACAACATTATATTTACCATATCCACTGCCTATGACATGTTTCACTGAATTCACAGCTCTTTAGCTCATTTACAATGGATATGGCAAATATAATGTGGTTTGAATATTATTATTACAAATTCTTCTAATTCTTGAAAATTTATAAGTGATTAAGTAATGAATGTAGTGTTTAAAAATACAATAGGCCTAATACTAATTTCTTATAACAAGTATGATTATAATTATGCTTCGCTAGCTTGTAAAAGGTGTTCACATCAAAACAAAATCATACTTCACCAAGATAATTTGTGGTTGAATATAAGGATAACCAAAAGTGAAAATGTCTTCAAGTTTTGCAACTATATCTCACTTTACACTGACTGTCACACAAATCACCTTCAGAAAATTATTAAAAAGAACTCGTTTTACTTCTGTATCATAGGTTAGACAAAAAAATACCAATTGATGAGTAAATAAGTATTTTTGAAACTATATTTCATATTCAGATATGAAAGTATATCTTTCTATACACTCAATATCCCATTTTTCCTAAATTTTCATAAACAATAGTGACATTACCCTGAAACACAATTTACACCATGTTAATGCCTACTTTGGTAAAAATGTTAAAATTTACATACCTTGGTAGTACTTCTGCTATTTGAAGCAGCATATGGTTAGGAAGGACATAACTATGGGTAAAAATTTCAAAAATGAAATTAATACTATTCAGAAAAAGTATTAATAAATATGTATAATACCACATTATAGTTACTTTCTAAAAAACAAACAAACAAACAATGTGTTAACTCTTTGACATTGCATAGCTTGATGACCTATAATGTCACTTAAGAAAACAAACTAATGTATAAACAGTTAAATAAATTTAAAAACGCATGTAAAAAGTTACTGATCAAAATGTGTGTGTTTTCTTATAACAATGCCACATCGAGCTATCTGCTGTGTCCACTTGATTTAAGCATTGTAAGCCCAAAGACTTACTGCTGTCCCACCAGGGGACCTGATTAAAATGACACTTTCTTTATAGCTTGCACTCTTTCATCACAATCTCATGGTTAGAATAATTGGTAACGGTTTTACATAAAAGGTAAATTCATAAATCTACACAGATTAATTTTTGTGAATTACATATGAAATGCAATATCAAATTAAACACACTATTCAACAAAAAAGCAACTGTTTCTGATATTACACATTAAAGAGATATGTTGAAAAAACTTTTACACATTTTTTTAGTGTATATGAGCATTTAATTAAAATGTAGTAAATGATTATATTTCTTAAATGAAAGAGCTTCATGCATTTCAATAGGGCAACAACAATAAAAACATATATAAACAAAAATTGTTATTTAAAATCACAAACACAAAACAGTGGGCATGTTTTGATTAATCTAGTCAGATGTTCACCAAAGTGAGTTTCAAATCTTAAAATATTGTATCTGTTAGTTCTTGTAACCCACATTGTCACTGATTTGAGACTTCCCATTTTGTTTAAAAAAAGGACAACATATCAGATGTAACTCAGGTCTTTTGTCATTATATGAAACTATCTGAGTACATTATCTAATATTTCAGTGATAATAAAAATGGGCTTTGCTATCATTTCTCCTTGATCCCATAGAACAGAACAATCTGTTTCAATACATGTTGAGCCACAACTGATTTGACATATTCCCATCTAATTGAGCATTTTTGGAGTTCCATTTTGCTTACAGCCAAAGAACATTTAGTTTGTCCAACATGTGATTTCTTACATGAACATAAAATTTCATAAAACCTTGTTTTTTTCATTGTCTTCAAGGTGATCCCTTCATTTAAAAAACAAGTTCTCAATTCAATTAAATGCCATTTGGAAATTATTTAAAGTATTAATCAAAACATTTGTCACTTCATCAGAAAGATGAGAATAATAAGTAATAGTAAAACTTTTATATCTAGAATCTATCAATTTTGGTTTGTAATTGAAATTACTTCAATTCTAAAAACAATTATCTATTGTATATGATTCAAAACCTCTGTTAACACGATTACTACGGGCTACTAACTTTCTGCACAGCCAATGCAAGTTTTGCTATATTTCGTTCCAACAATAAAACTACAGGATGAAATTGTTTGAAACTTTATAAGAACTTTCATATATGCATGTATTTTATGAAACATAAAGTCTGTAACTTTTGATAAATCTAATTTTTTTGCATTATGATTTTTAATATCTTGGAAAATTACATTACGAAATGGTATTTATAAGAAATGATTACAATATTTATATTTGTTCCAGATTTGAACTTCTTACTTTTTATGCTTTAGTACATTATTTTAAAATATCTAAAACTGTTTTATCATCCAAAAATGCAAATTTTGTCTATTCTTAATTTTTTAATAATCATGTATTCTCCTCATGTTTTCAAGACCAGAAAATAATATTTCCAAGTAAACCTAAACAATAAACAAGTATTTTTAACTCTGATTTCATGTTTACATATGTACATTGGTTGTTTAGTTGTTTGGATGTTTGGTGTTTTATGGTGCAAAGCAACTAGGCTATCTGTTACAAACAACCAGTAAAGTAATTTGTAGTAAAATGTAAAAATAAAGTGAGTTAAAGCCAAAATACATCCAAAAACAGATAAAAATTAAATAAAATTAAAAAGACCAATTGTTTTAAAAAATTGAAAATACAATCAAGTTGGACAGTGTCACCATTCCCAATGAAACAGTCCAATGTCAGGGGCAAACCCTTACAAAGCACATGTCTAAAATGGTGCCCCCTCTCATGGTTGTAACGAAAGTAAAATGTGGGCTATTGTGAGTGTCACAAAGGTTACACATTGGTGGGTCAATACCAGATAAAAGAAAACGATGAGTTAAAAAACTGTGACCAATGCGTAGCCTTGCCAGGACAACTTCCTCCTTCCGATCCTTATGGAAGCAAGACGGCCAAAGAGCAACAGAAGGTTTGATCTCAAAAAGCTTGTTATGTTGTTGCTCACCCCAAATCGACTGCCAATTGGCGTGAAGCCACGCCTTAAATAACAGACTGTAGTCCTATGAGACAGGCACGTTTGCAGTGGTCCACATCAACAAGTGATTGAGGGCAGTCTGAAGCTGCCACTCTATATACGTCATGTTCAATGACTGACACAAGATGTGGAAGTCATCAACATAGAGCCCATATGCAACAGTTGGAGGAAGGTGAGTAGCAATAGCATTAATTTAGACACTAAAAAGTGTGACACTCAAGACACAGCCCTGAGGGATTCCAAGTTCATGCCGAAAGGAACGGGAAAGAGTTGAACCCACAAGGATTTGGAATCGTCTGTCCAGTAAAAATTTCTGAATAAAAATGTGTAAATGGCCATGCAACCCATAGACATGGAGGTCGTACAAAATGCCATACTTCCACATAGTGTCATAAGCCTTCTCAATATCAAAGAACACAGAAACAAGATGTTCTCACTTGAGAAAGGCTTCTTTGATTGACATTTCAAGTCAAATCAGATGGTCCATGGTGGAAGGCTGTTGACAGAACCTACACTGGGTGGGCTAGAGGAGAGTGTTTGATTTGAGAAACCAAACAAGACAAGCATTAACCATCCTCTCTAAGACCTTATAAAGACAGCTAGTCAGAGTGATAGGACAATAATTAGAAGGAGTCTTGAAATCCTTCCCAGGTTAAGAGAAAGGAGAACAATAGCCTAGTGCCAAACATCAGGAAAAACATGCTCCTGTCACATCTGGTTTATAATAACCAGAAAAACAGCAGGAGAGAGATGGCACAGCATCTCATAATGAACATCATCAGGTCCAACCAATGTACTACCAGACTGATGAAGAGCAAGTTTGAGTTCCACCAGTGAAAAGGGGCGATTATAATCAGAGAGACGATTGGCTCGAAAGGAAAGAGGTGATAGCTCTTGATGGCCAAGAAGGCAGGGGAAGAAACAGAAGTGCTTGGAGAAAAGCTGTGGCAGAGAGAATCAGCAATGCTCTGGACATCAGCAACTTCCTGTCTATTGGAGAGCAAGATGGAAAAAGGATAGGAAGCATAGCTCCCAGTGGCTTTCCTAATCTTGTCTCATGTGGTTTTGGAACTGGTGGTAGAAGAGATACTAGTAGTAAACTTAATCCAAGACTCCTTTTGGCTTTGACGTCGAACCTGCCGAGTGTGGGCATAGGCCCACTGATAAATGAAACAGTCAGTTGCTGCTGCCACACAGTCATCTATTGATGGCAGATAGACAATGGCAGGATCAAGTTCAGAGAGAGTGGTGAAAGAGGGCAAGTCAACCTGGTCCAACTTCCATCCTGGCACTCGGGTCGGGTGGCATCGACCACAGCCAACCTCCCTCAAAACGAGAGGAAAATTATCACTGCCCCATGGGTCACTGTCAACTGTCCAAGAAAAGTGGGAGAACAATGAAGGGGAACATAGTGAGAGATCTATGGCAGTGAAAGACTGACTAGATGCATGAAAATAAGTACAAGATACAGTATTGAAGAGAGAAAGGTTGTGACCTGAGAGCAGATGCTCGATGGAACGACCCCTCCCATCAATAGCAGCACCACCCCAGAGGGGGTTGTGTCCATTAAAGTCTCCCAGGATTAAAAAGGGAGATGGCAACTGTTCAATGAGAGCATCAAGGTCTGATTGATCATAAGTCTCACCAGGAGACAGGTAGAGAGAACAAACAGTGATAGTATGACCCAAGGAAACATGGATGGCTACAGCCTCCAAGGGTGTATCGAGTGACTCAGATAAGGAGGGCACATGCTGGTCGACCAGCAATGCTACACCTCCATGCACTCGACCATCACACAACATGTCATTCTGGTACAAAGAAAACTGCCGAAAGATGACTGTATTGGTAGGTTTCAGAAATGTTTCCTGTAAGGAGAGGCACACAGTATGATAGGAATCAATTAAGGCCTTAATGTCATCAAGATTACAATGGAAACCTCGACAGTTCCACTGTATCAAAGTGGCAATTTTTATTTAGGTGGAGGAGAACTGGATGGAGAACCCTTTGGTTTACAACCATGCCATTTTTCTTTATTAGAAGGAGGTCTATCTACATGGATCCTGGCAGATCTCTGTCATCAGACTTAGAATCCAGTGACTTAGGACGTGATCAAACGATCGTCCTGCATCTCGGGGTCAAATAAGAACCGGAGGGGATACCCGAGGCCGGTGCCATAGGAGGAGGACCCATGCAGTCACTGGAAGGAATGGTGGGGACAGAGATTGGAGTAGACATAGACCGGTCAGACTCTGTTATTCATTAAGGCAGAAGACTTCTCACATGATGTGAAAAAGACTCAGATGGAGGCATGGAAAGGTCTGTCTGCACTCCCACTGTAGCAGTGGAGCATAGTGCAGCGGCATATGTCTGAGATGGAGTAGGGAACAATAGCTTCCAAGCCTCAGGATAAGAAATGTTGTTAACAGTCTTCAAATGCTGTACCTCTTTCTCCTCCACCCACTTAGGACAAGATCTAAAGTAAGAATAGTGGGAACCACTACAATTAACACAGTGAGGGTCCAGTTCACACTCGTAGGCATCTGGTCCTTGTCACCACAATGAGCACACGTCACAGATCCACACGATGTCTTCAAATGATCAAACCGCTGGCACTGAAAACATCGGAGAGGGTTGGGAATATATGGCCAT